AGAAAGAAAATGCGGTGCTGTCCTTTTTTAAGAGAGACACTTTCATGCTATACACGCCAGTTGTACTGTTTTTTTAATTTCTAAAAAAAAAAAAAAATCACCTCCGACGGGACTCGAACCCGCAATCCCCGGCTAGCACACATGTTTAGCCGATCCGGCTGTCTAGGAGGCCGATGCCTTATCCATTAGGCCACGGAGGCGCTGAACATTTTTACGTGTACAAACAAATTATCTGATACGACGGGGTGGAATCAGGCTCTTGTCAAGTTTTGGGGTATTTGGAGCTATTGGTATTATCCAAGGAGTTTACAGTAATCCGAAAGCTGTTTCATTTGCCTTGCTTTAATGAAATAAATATCCATCTATGTTGAGTAGACGTCAAAATATTTCCGATTGAAGGAAATGAGGTTGCCTGGTTTCAGTGGTGAAATTTGCGCCAAAGTTTGGTAAAGAACCCTTCAAAACTGAAAAAAATGACATATTTGTGCCTTTAATCAATGATTTTCAGGAAAAATTCACATGGAAATGCTTTTTTATATGGACATAAAAGAGGTTAAACCAAAAAATAAAAATTCGATAAAATGTCCAAACTGGAGGAAAATGCCTGTTTCTCTGATTTCGTTATTTTGACAAGTACCTGATTTCACCACGCAGCCTCACAAATAACCACAAACAAGCGAATAAAAAAAGAAACAAGCGAACACACATAAGCCTACAAACAAAGTTAGTTATAGTAGTACAGGGTTTTACGGCGCTCGCAACTGCATAAGGTCATATGAGCGCGCGAAACACAAGTTTTTTACATTCGCAACAGTTCACTGCACGGTTGGTTATCTTTTGGACTTTAAAATGCTAAAATAATAAAATTCGGTGTAAATACATAAAAAAAAAATTAAAACAACTCTTATAAGTAACAATAAAAAATGTTAATAGTACGATTTCACTTTATCTACAAACAAAGAAAAAAATATTTCAGGGCAGGTCCATTTTTTTAAAGCGAGACACTCTCACTCTATGACCCCGTCGTCTTGTTCACTATTCTTAATTTTAAAACGAATACTTAATAATAATATTTAAAAAAAAAAAAAATCACCTCCGACGGGACTCGAACCCGCAATCC